AACTGTGCATAGATGAGCCTGTAGAGATCATGAGGCTTGCTACTACAATCTAAATTTCTAACAGTTCCTTCACCAGGTGTGGGACAATCAGCAAGCCACCACGTATTTTCTTTCTCCTTTTTTTTTTGATTCTAATACTAAAAGACTTTAAATCTCAATATATATTTAATCCATAGAAACATTCCAAAGGAAATATGCATATATATATATATGGAATATCTGTATATATAAATGTGTATATACATATATACACATATACATATATATGTAAACCAGAAAAGCAGAGGGCAGAATGATGGCACACCCTGCAAACTAGAGGCAAGGCAGCTGCTCTCATATAAAAGGGGTGCAGCACCTTATAGATTTACCTGAGTGAACTTTGAGATCATCTACCTCCTGCTGCATATGTTGAGATATATCTAAATAATTTCCCCATGTTCATAAAATGTTCAAATCCATGCACTTGTGACCAAATTCACATAACGTTGACAGATTAAACCAGAATAATTTTTCCTTATTCAGTATCAGGCTTTCCTTGAAAAAACATTTACTGCTAGATAAAGTTATCAACAAAGATAACTTGTCCAAAGATAATTTTCTATATGTCTGATAATTGTCAAAGGGTACAACATTTACCAGCAGTATGTTACTCCTACTCCTGTTCGGTATCAGTGTACTCATATGGCCTGACACTGTTCAGTATTAAACAAAACACTGCAGCAATCACCTGTCACTTCACCGACTGGTTTTTTTAGCCTTTGGCTAATCAGAGACCAAACACACCATCAGCTTCAAGAGTTTGCCTGAGAACACTGAAAAATACTTATTTCAAGTTTCAGCTTAGACTTTTGAATTCTTGATTCTTAAAAAAGATCTGTTTGTTTTTTCATGTAAAATGTGTTTTAAAGAGTTTCTTTTCAAATTCCTGAAAAATACCTCTGTTCAGTGTAACCTTCCTCAAGATAGGCCAAGTTGAATTATTTTATGAGGACCTTATCCTTAGGTTTTAATGGCACATTGCCAGATTAACAACAGCTGGAGTAGTAATGCTAAATTCACTTAAAATGCACTGCTGAGAAAAAGCAACCAACTGCTAAGGGAGCCTCATGGGTGCTGTCATGGTTCTTCGTAAAGCACCTCATGAAAAAGCTTTGCTCACATGAGCAGTGAGAGCTAGCAATTTCTAAACAACCACGTTGCCAAAAAATCCGACACTTCTTCCAAAAAGTAGATTCCAATGACCTTGAGATGCAGCTAGGGAGGGAAAAAAGTTTACTACAGGCAAACTAGATCATTCACAGAGAACACAGTGTTACCAAAAACAGATCAGGCTGGCTGGGAGAGGATGTAGCCTGCTGAGGGAAAAATCAGGCATTAGGAAGGAATTGCTTCTGTGGTTTTTGCAGACTTCTCGTATGGAGTGTATAGACTTAGGAAACAAGCGCAAGGCAAAGCTAAATATGTATATAAGCATCTATCCTGTCAAGTGTTAACTCATGTAGAGTTTTTTAATATACCAGCCTTTTAGCTTGCCCACAGCAAAGAGAACTCTCTTTTCCATGTGTTCCTCCATCCTTTTCTGAGCAAGTTCTTCATAGGCTACATGTAATTTGATCAACAATAATCTCACTTGAAAGAGAAGTTCATTCAAACATTACCTTCTATAGTGTTTCTGAACTACATTACCATAATTTTTAAAAAATCTTTTTAAAAATGCACATAACAGGATACAACTATGAAATACCATTTAAGAACTTTCATGGGCAGTCACCAATTCCTCAGCATTTTCTTTGGGTTTAAGAACTTGAAGATTTCTCCCACCTACCACACTGTTATTGCCAAAACACATGCAGTGCAACTAGAATCTTAAAGCACAAAAAATCATTCACAATCCTACACAATATGTACAATATGTTCTTGTTTTTCTAGTCCACAAACAATACCTGTAAGAAATAATATTTTCATACCATGCTCACAGTAGAGAATAAATCAAATACACTTACTTTAGGAAAAATCTCTCCATCTCTCCATTTAACACAGCAAGGGGGTCTAGCAGGAGTGAGCTGGACAAGAACTGCTTGGAAGTGCCAAAACTGTCCTGAAAGGAATATTTTTCTCCTATTCCAAAATGTTCTTTCAAAGTACTTTTCTTTTACACATTTAAATCATCTAGATGAAGTTTGCTACAAGCCTAAAATGGTTTATAAATTTCAGGAGCAAGGTATACATGTGACAGGACACTTTTTTCCTGGCCGTAAGAAAGCAACTTGAACATCTAGGGTTTTCGGCTACAATGCCACGTGCTCTAGGTGACCCTGCATGTGCATGGGGGTTGGACTAGATGACCTCTAGAGGTCCCTTCCAACCTTAAGCGTTCTGTGATTCTATCATTTCTCAAATCTTATCCTCATGTTCTTTTTAAGCACATTCACCTTGGAGAATAAGGAAAATATTATGTAAATCACATCATTGCCTTCCATAATTAGAATTTCTGGACCTCAGACATATGAGGCAATTATTTACTGAGCTGCGCAACAATATCAGTTGGAGAACCATGCAGTGATCTGCACTGAAATCACTTGTTCTCAGTCCACAACAAATTCTGTGTTTGACATTGATACATATACAGTCAAAGAAAATCAAAAAACACACCTCTGTATGTATCTTAGAAAACCCGTGCCTTCTTCCTTTCCATTATAAATGTAAAATTTTACTAATGTGCTTAGTTTTTAAAGAAGCCTTACACAAAATTTCCAGATTTTTTCCTAATACTGTCTTCACTGAAATGGAGATATCAAATCACCATTGAAACTACAGACGTGCTTTGCAAACAAGGTACCAAGCACTGCTGTGAAATAAAACTACTACTGTGCTGTTCAAGATGACTGCAAAACCCAACGGGTATTATTTTGTTCATTACAACACAAGGTATATTTTAGACATTGACTTTTCTCCAGTAGATAAAAGATTTGGTAAATCTCTTTCACTTTGCAAGGTGGTACGCACAGGTCCTATAGGAGATCTCAATCCCTCCAAAGGGATCATCTCACTAATTAACTCCTCTGAGTGGACACTTTACAGCAAATTATCTATAAACTACAAGGCCTCTGCTTTACAGTTTTCTGCTCCCATTTTAAATGCAGAGGTTCCACATTGGCCAGTTAACCAGCATCCTTTTGTGGTAGTCCTTGACTAAGGCTCCAAATGCTCCAGACCAATAGAAAGGCTTGGGCTTCCAGAAGCTGTTCTAAAGGTGTACAGAAGTGTACACCTTTAGTACAAGGTGTACTAAAACACACCTTGTGTTGTTACTGTTGTCACTGCCTTGACCTGTAAGATGACATTTTCAGAGCACACAAAAAAAACAAAGCAGATGCCAAAGTCACCTAGTAAAGTCTCTTTTAAAAGTGTGTTGCGCAGAGTTGCATTTTACAGGACGTAAAACCTGCTCATTTACTCACCGGACAGTGAGGTGGAATGCCTTTTTTTTTTTTTTTTTCCCCTCAACACACCAAGATATACAAGAACCTACAGCATTGATAAAACCAAAGGCAGTCACGCCTTGGAGAGGGAGGAGACTTCCCTTTATTAATCACCTGTGGTTACAGCAGAGATCGCCGTGCTGTGATTTCACTGCTTCCTGAGAACCGTGGGCACTGACACCTCACTCCTTGCACAACGCCGGCCACACAGCACACCGGTACCTGGGGGTGTAGGAGTGCTCCTCGCGGGACCACATGTGGAGCCATGCAGCTGTGCGGCAAGAAGACACTGGCGTTGGTGGCACGGCACCGCTACGTGCTCCTACTGGGGTCTCTGCTGCTGGCAGCTGCGGTGGCGCTGCGCAGTGCCACTGTGCCTTCCCACGATGGCCACTTGCACACCAACAGCTACCCCCGCTGCCGTGACCGCCTCTACTGCACGCTCACGCTCCCTGCCGACAGAGGCATCAACTGTTCGGCCATCGTGCGCGGCGATGTCGCAGCCCTCCAGGCGGCTGCCCTCAGCAGGCTGGAAGTGGCCAACAGAAAGGTGCCCCGTCTGCCCGAGGAGTACCTGAACCTGACAAGGGACTGTGGGTACTACAAGGCCATGCGGCGCTTCATCGAGTTCCCGTTGAGCCTGGAGGAGGCTGAGTTCCCCATCGCCTACTCCATGGTCATCCACGACAAAATTGAGATGTTTGAGCGGCTCCTGCGATCCCTCTACGCCCCCCAGAACCTCTACTGCATCCATGTTGACAGCAAGTCGACAGCCACCTTCCAGGAGGCCGTGCGAGCCATCGCCGCCTGCTTCCCCAATGTCTTTGTGGCCAGTCGCCTGGAGAATGTGGTCTATGCCTCCTGGTCCCGGCTGCAGGCTGACCTGAACTGCATGCAGGACCTGCTCCAGAGCCCCATACCCTGGCGCTACCTCCTCAACACCTGTGGCACTGACTTCCCCATCAAGACCAACGCAGAGATCGTCCGCACCCTGAAGCTGCTGCAGGGGCAGAACAGTATGGAGTCCACGAAGCCCTCGATCCTCAAGCAGCAGCGCTGGCAGTACCACCACGAGGTGACACACTCCATCTTCCGCACTGCTACAAAGAAGGCGCCGCCACCACACGGCTACCCTATGTTCACAGGCAATGCATACTTCGTGGCCTCACGGGCCTTTGTGGAGCACCTCTTCCAGAGTCCCACAGTCCAGCAGTTCCTTGAGTGGGCTAAGGACACCTACAGCCCTGACGAACACGTCTGGGCCACCCTCAACCGCATGCCTGGCGTGCCGGGGGCCGTGCCATACCACAACAAGTTTGAGCTCTCGGACATGAATGCTGTGGCCCGCCTGGTCAAGTGGCAGTACCTGGAAGGTGACATCAGCAAGGGTGCCCCCTACCCGCCCTGCACCGGCC